GTTTGGTCCAAACCCTGAGAGCGGTGCCGACCTACAGCTCCGAGGTCCCGATCAAATCCCTTCTCACTCAAAACTGACAAACATATGGAGAATTGCTAGCTTTGTGATTCCATGATTCCTTGATTGTGGTGTGTGTCCTTGATCTAAGGCTGGTCTGCTTTTTGTTTTGTTCATCTACCTCTCCTTTGAACTCTACAGGAAGAAGCTTGCAAAGGAAATAGAATCAAGCCAGCAAGAAGGTGCTCCCCATTTCCTAAGTCCCACAGTGTTTTTTTTTAAGCTCCTTTTCTGCTCTCCCATGGAAGGAATCTCCTATTCTGCAGCCCAGTCCTCCTGGACCAAGAGGTCATGCAGCCTGCTGAGCTCCACAAGGCCACTGACACAGAGCAGCTGTTGGCCACTTTCTTCTCCTGGTATTACAGGGGATTGAACTGAACTGTGGCTGCTTCACAGGAGCATAGCTGAAAGGACATCTATACAGCAATCAAAACGGAGCCGCCCCAGCCATTACATCAAGGAGTATCAGGTCCTTTGATGGAAACATGAGTGTCTCTTAACTGGAGGTAATCGAGGACTGCATTTGACACACGTGGTACTGCCATCTCATAAAATGTCATGAATGCTTGACCTGAGATTCTCAAGCCACAGCTGGTTCTTCAGGGTGGGATTGATGCAGTGGCGGGAGGTTGGGGAGGTGATGGTTAAAGTATCTTAAAGACTTGGCAAGCCATTTATAATGCTCAGGAGAAAAAAAAAACAGCAGTTCCTTATTTAGATGAGTTGGGGTAGTGTATTACAGCATTTCTTACTGTCTGAGCTGTGCCCTGTGAAGTCTGCCTTGAGTATTTATAGGGCAATTAGTTGCTGCAAATATGTTTTTAAAACAAATTGTAGGGTTGTTTTTTTTTTTTTCATTTGAAATAACTTATTAGCACTTAACAGAACTTCAAATGTAGTAGATTTCAAATGGCATATAGGCTTCTAGGCTGAGATTTTTTTCCTCTTTTAACAAATCTAGATGCCAAATTCCAATTCCAGTTATTGGTAACTTCTTATCCAAATCACTTTAACAGCTTTGAACATCTCAGCTATAACATGGCAGATCAGTATGACCACAAATTAGCTGTGAGGGACGTGGAATAAAAAGAGCACAGCAAACAAAATCCATCTGTCTTTGTAAGATCCTCACCCTGCCAGATCTCCCCAAAAGCCACAACTTCACTTTCTAAATGGGTGCAAGTTCTGTTTGCTTTTGAAAGTGTCTCCAGGAGCATTTTCCCCACTGAGGTCTGTGTTTTCTGCTCAGCACTCGGCTTGTGTGATGTGGATGAACACTCAGGAGCTGTGCAGGGGGTAAATGGGGCTTGGTAAGCTTTTCAGCAATGCTGGAAGGAATGCAGCTTTCAGCAGTGCTCCAGAGCAGGGACCAGGATAGAAGAACTAGATGGGCTCTTGTGGAATCATTCTGTTCCATGTCTCCCATTGCACCACCCCACCTTTGACGAGTTGATGGTGCCTGTGCTTAACAAGACAATGTCTTATCCTTCCCCTGGGATCTGGGACAAGTTACACAGATGTGTGTATTCCAGTGTGGTCCCAGTTCCATTTTCAGTCCATCCAGGGTTATTAGATTCCTTTTAGTTCTTTGTAAGCAGCAGCTCATGGCATTTTGAAATGCTATTCCTCGGTCAGATGGCAGATAGCAAATGTTTCCACTCAGAGCACCTCTGCCTACTTGTAAAAAGCAGCCTATACATGACCATTTCTATACATCTCTATTTTTAACATCTGAAAAAAAGCAACCCCTTCTATTTTTAGATACAGCTCAGTTCTGTAGGCTGGCTGGTTCTAATAAAAAATTCCTCACTCTCTAAAGAAAATCCTGCACTGAAATCACAAATCCAGGGGAACGTCCTGTACTACTAGCAGACCCACTAAGATGAAAACCTCAGCTTGTTAGCAAACCCTCCAAACAAAAACATTTACCCAGACTCAAGAGGAAAAACAGGCAAGGAAGAGGCAATAACCCCAGCAAGTTTTCTACCATGACTTCAATCTGCTTTATAAAAAAATCAAAGAAAAACATACCCACTGGTTCAGACAGGAGGTCAGGATCTTGGACATCTTTCAAATCTCTTTTGTCTGGCCCACTTGGCCTGGTTGCTAGATGTGTTTCCAACAGCTGTCTCTCTTTTGGAGATGATGCCATAGTGCTCTCTACTGCTGGCCTCTTGATCCCCTTGGGCCACAGGCTCCCAAACAAATGTCCCTCACTGTCTGCTCTGGAGATGGGCAGTAGTTATTCCTGCTGGAGAGATTCTGCTTTTAGGAGAACCTGGTTGTTTGTAACCAAATCACTGCAATGCCAGCCGTGCATTGTTATGGTTTTCCCAGTGCTTTTCTGTCTCCAGCAGAGAAGTGCCACCTCTTTCACTGCCGTCTGGCCTCGGGCCCATCACTGATGTTTGGGTCTTCAGTGTTACAAAAAGCAAACCGGGTAACGCAGCTTAGAAACCTAGAGGTCTTTGAAGCCTCATTCTTAGCTGCAGTTCTGTAAAGCTGAGATGCTGTTAATAACTCAGCGTGCACTTCAGGGAGAAACACCCTAAGGAATGTGTGAGCAACTCTGAAACTGGAAGAGGAGGAACCAAGAAGACAGAGATACTTTCCTGATATGTATGTATGCTAATCTCCAGGGTATAGAGCAAAGTACACTGTGTTTCCCTTTGTGAAAACTGCACTGCAGGGATGTGAACAGGAGGGGAGTGTGACTGACAAGTGGTTGCCCTGCAAAACTTGTACAGCAGAAAGAAAGCAAAAGATCTGCTCTGCCCTTGTGTGAATGCTGACACACATATTCATCTTTCAACTGTAAACCATGTGCCAAGGAAGTGCACGAGGAACAGTCAGAGGAAAGCTGCTGCAGTAACCCTGCAGCACACCTGGTCATGCAACTGAGCAGGAGTGGAATGAGAAGGAGAGGAAAAAGATTAGACTGAGTTGTGGCATGTTACGGTGTCTGCATGTTGCAGTGATTGACAGCAGGGAATTGCCTGAGCTAATACGTGGGCTGTCAGGGTATCACCTGGATACCCTCTAAGTTTCAGACAATTAAAGCTTTCAGAAGATAAAAAGCTTTGTGAATAGCACCTCACAATGAAGGTGGTATGTCTAGCATAATTATACCCAGGTTCTTGCCATATCTTTGGACAATCTGGCTGATCAGTTTATCAGCCATGCTGCCCATCAGTTTCTTTCCCTACTGGGAGTAAAAATTGGAAGAATTTTATTCCTTTCAAAAGAAATAAATCAGTCATTTTCTTCTGCCTTTACTGCAGGAAGCATTGTAGAATATAAGAAAAAATGAGATGACCTTTTTCCTTTGCGTGGGTGAAAAGGGCACGTATCAAAATGCATCCCCTGCCCAAAGGGGCACGGTGCCCATCCCTGTTTACACGTTACCATTGTCTCAGTGGAGCCTATTGTCTCCAAGATGCAGAATTTATTCCAGCTGTGAGCAGGGCTTGGGTTTGTGTCTTACTGTCTACTGGGGGCTAAGCAAACACCAAGGATGTCATCCAATACCATAACTAACAGAGGAATTCAAAACCTGTGAGCAAAAGCACTTCTTTCCCCCTGACCCTTGGACTGTTCTGGCTTGCATTTCAAGCCTCTGTATTTTTATCTGAAGAAGGAAAGTGCCTGCTCACTTTCAAGGTGTTACACGTAGGGCTCATGAGCACTGGGTTACAGGGTGGTCCACACTACAGTACACAACATTAGGAAATCATATTTAAATGCACTAAAATGAGAGTTTTCAGGACTAGAAACAGAACTAGTTAACAGCTTGACATTTACTTAGAGAAGGACAGAACTGTGAAGAAAAAGTAATCATCTCCCAGCCCCTACCTTTGGCTGACATACATACAAATGCCATCCGTGGGTGAAATAACACCCAAAGCTTTACAGACATCTCTATCAGGCAATGTGCTGTCTGCGACACTTTGCTATTTGCTGCTTCCAACCTCTCCTGCTGATGGCTGTCTGCAGAGCCTGCTGTCCCACGAGTCAGTGCAACTCCTTTCTACGTTGTGACCAGTATTTAGTAACCACTATGGCAAGAGCAGGCACGAGTCCAAATTCAATCATGCAAAACTGAAAGCTGGAAGGCTGGGCACGGTGTGTGTTTTGGGCTGTGGGAGGAGGCACATGCTTTCTTTGCTCTCATACCTTCCAACAATGCTGTGTAATCGGGATCTGGGCTGGCCAGTGCTCTGACAAGCTGAAATGATAGAGGATGTTTGATAAGAATTTGGAAATGCATCTACCTGAAGGTGAGGGTTGGTGGAGGTGTTAACACCGATGCTGTGCCTGACATCCATAGTACAGAAAGTCCTAGTTCTTGGCACCTGTGTTTTCCCATCAAGTAACACTCATTTGTTATCATATATACACACCAGAGATTTACATAGCTTGTAGGGATGAATCATGCATAATTGTGGCTTCTTACATGACAGTTGGTATATTAACAAGTGACTTATTTGTGCTCCATGCTGAATGAGTGTAGTGGGAGCGTGTGGACCTCTGGTGTCAGAACCATATTTGTCATTATCTGGAGGTAAAACAGCAGTTTGGTGATTAAAAACAAAATAGAAAATAATTGCTGATTTTATTTGTCTCTACCTTGAGAAAACATGCTTTGGTTTATACATGCCTATTTGTACGTATACATTACATATATATATGCCTAGTGAAAATATGATAGTAAGCATTATTCAACCATTCTTACACAGAATATTATAAATAACATAAAGAGGTGGATTTATAGCCATTTTGCCAATAGCCCACAGTGTCTTTTTGGAAGCCAGCAGGAGACATGGGCACAAAAAGAAGGTGTTCTCCATAAATTAGAGACTGTGACCTGGCAGAGGCTTGAGGAAGTTCAATAGGCAGTGGTGTTACATGGGGTGCCTGGAGCTGTGCTTGCCTATGACATCATTCTGCAGTGTGACAACACTCATGGACCTCACCTGGGTGCAGCAGTGTCTGGCACCTTGTGGGCCAGCATCAGCTCATTATGGGTTATCCTACCCCAAAATATCCTGGGGATGGAAAGTTACGTTCACAGCAAGTTCTCCACCAGTCCCACCAGGTAGTTTGGGACTCATTTCAAAGGTACTTCTACAATTGGTGTCTCCCAGGGTGCTGTAGGCTGTAGGATTCCAGTAAAAGGGCTACATGCTAACAGAGCTCTTCTCTCTGCGAGCTGCGTGGAGCAGAGCAGGCTGCCAGCTCTGTCCCCTGCCAGGTCTCACACTTTGCTCTCAAACTCCCAGCTCGTGGGGTCTGGATGGGGAGAGGTGGCACCGCCATGGCCGTGCCCCACTCTGATGAAGTGTGCAGAAAGGGGTGCAGTGTCAGAGCATGCAGGCTGCTTGGCCAGAGTGCAGGGAGCAAAAATAAATAACCCTTGAGGAGAGCAAGGGGAGACACCTCTGCACATTCCCATTTGCTGGGAAGGGCAATTCTGGCCACAGCTCATAGCATCCTGGGGAGTGGGACCCTTGGGGTGTTGAGAGTAGGTTTGTTAATGGATCTTCTAGGGGTTGATGGATTTAATGGGTGAAGTAAGTCTGCTTTTATTTATTTTATTTTTTTGGCAGCTGCTGCAAGTGGAATTTTATGCATTTTTTCTGGCTGTTAGTGCTTGTCTGGGCTATTTAGATGTTGAGGTACACTAGTTTCCTTCGTGGTGGACCTTTTTTAGAGAGCAGCTGGGACGCCTTCTGCAAGGGCACATTATGGTGTACTTCCCTTTATAAAATGTTCCGTGTAACTTTACAAATGAGCTCTGAAATGGCTACTAGTCCCAGGAAGTGTGAATGGTAGTTGATTAGAAGCTCAGCTGTCGATTAGAGAGGTTATAGAGTAAACCATTGTTGTGCATGGTCTACTGACCTCTTAGCTCTGTAACAGTCCTAACAACTGTGAGGGGGGACAACACCTGTGTATATGTATATATATGTGTGAGTGCTGCAGACCTCATTTTCCCTCTCACTTTAGTATTCTCCTCTATTCTGCTCTGACTTTTACTGTCTTTGTCAACTCTGAGGGGTTTGGGTGGCTTTCTGCTGCTGGCTTGAAGTGTATTATACAGATCAGGTCCAGAGGGACAGCCTTGCTCAGCTGTTAGTAGGTCCTGTTCTCTCTCAGGTCACTGAAGGTTTTTTGGTAGACAACCTAACATTCCTCAGTTTGAGGCCTTCAACAGTTCTCAGTGTTTGAGAGCACTTTGCATGGTTTTTTCCTTCTTAATTTCTACAGAAGTTGCTGCTACTGCATCAGCTTTATGTAGTACAGAAACCAAAAGGACCTCCTTCTACTGATGCTCTCCTTACATCTTTTCATTTTTGTAAGAAGCACTCATTTCCTCTGACTTCCATATAAAAATCCAAGAAATGAAATGTTCTGTACAAAGCTGGATGTCAGAAGCTAGAATCTTCTCTAATATAAATCAGTGCAACTCTGCACGTGTAAAGCTTTGCTCTAGGCACAAATCTAGCCGAGAGCAATATTTCATTTTCCTTATAATCTTGCCCTATAATTCAATTCCTCTCAGCCTGTAACACTTTCTCTGCTCTCAGTGAACACCCTCCAGCTTGTTTCTGTCTTTCTCTTCCTTGGTTATCCAGAATAGCGATAGGGTGGATGCTGAAATCTGTCAGCCTCCATCACTGGCGGCTGTCCTGCTGTCCAGGTGAGGCCAGATCAGAGCTCCATCCACACCACCTGTTTTTCCTCTGCCTCCTGACTGCACGGTCTCTGCTGAAGGGAAACAGCTCTCCACAGAATTGCCTTTTCTGCTACCTCATCATCTTGCAAATTCTTATCTAGGGTGAAGCGCAGTTATCCATAAATCTCTTCTTCCTATCAAGACGCCTTTTCTAAGATCGTGAGATGGTTTATAAATACTTGAAGCTGTAGATACTTTTTCTACTACATTTGCTAAATACCAGAATACAGTGCATACTTCCCTGCAGCCTATATAATAATATCAGCTAGCAGTCCCAGTCTGTAGCACACAGCATTTCTTCAGCTGCTTCAGTGAAGGTTAAGAAGGCAGAATCACATCTATAGGGAGTGTTTCAAATCTAATGTCCTTTTCTAATATCACGAATGGTGTAAGACCCAAAAATAAAACTCTACTGACTGTTTTCTCAGTTGGGACACTTTGGAATTTACTTTGAGATTATGATCTTGTTGTGAAATTACAACACTGGAAGATCGCCGTCCCTCTGCTGTTACACCCCACTGAGTGCTACTGATTTTCATAGTTAATCATAAACTCTTGCCCTAAGTTAATTGATGTCCTCATTATGTCACATTTAACCGCAGCTTAGGAGAGTCTTTAGCCATTAATTTCTTTTATACCAGTTAGCCCTACAAGCAGCAAGCTTTGGAAATAGTGAAGAAAGGATCTCAGAAACAAATTGACTGTTACTGTTGCCACTGTATCACCAATTAAATACACAAAGATCAGAAGAAAAAGTAATCACCACTCTGTACATTCCTCACTCCGTAAATCTAATGAATGTTCAGTAATTAGCAACAAACAAGTTACTTCTTACTGCCAACAGTCAAGGAGCTGCATTTGGGGGTTTAGTACCCAATGCCAAAGAACTGAGGTTTTCACATCAAACTTAGGAGTCTCACAGATATCAGTGCTTTAGTGAGAAAGCTTCATATCCTCACTCTACAGCTCCTTTGAAGGACTGAGTGTGCTGAAATTCGAGGATGAGAATATAATTCCCACTCTTTGGGTTGTGAAGATTGAAGGAAAGGTGATATTCTGTTACCTGGAAGGGCATATTTTCAGGTAGGGGATGAGAGAAATGAGATGATTAGGGCTGTGGATATTAAAGGAACTTACTTCTTGTTTTTAATTAACTTGTTCTTGAGTCTTGGTTCTTTTTTGATTCTTTTCTCATTGCTGTAAACTTGAGTTAGTGAGATGCTTTCCTCTGGTTCCCTCAGTTCTCAGTGCTTTCTGCACCCTTTGCTGGGACAGTCCCTGCAAACCCCTGCTTCAGTGCCACACTCACTGACCCTCTTGCTGAGTGCTTGCTTTTGCTCTTTCCTGTTCCATTCACCTCTTAATCCTAGTTAAAAGCTATTTGAAGGTTTGATCTTTGTAAGTATTTTACCTAAGGCGTGATTCCATCTCAAATCTTAATCCCAATAATCTTGGAAACCAACCTGTCTGACCAACCTAAAAACATCCCCTGTATAACAGGATGACATGGACACTGCAGATCAGTATCCTTACTAACACCTGATGCCTACTCAGGGGAGTCAACTGAGATCCTGGCCCAAGGCTTCCTGGCAGGAAATCCACGTAGTTATTCTGCAGATAGTTAAAACTGCACTTTGAGTTGTTGCATCAGGGCACAGTCTATCACTAATATTATCTTTCAAAATTCCCAGCCTTACATATCATGATGCGTCATGTCTGGTGAAAAGCAATGCATGATTTGACTGACGTGCAGTAGCTGGGGCAAATTTATTAGTCACAATGAGCCCATTAGTCATGTTACGTCTGCCTCAGTGCAGAGAGGCTCCAATGCAAGTACAAGAACTAGCTTCTGTGTATAAAGCACGGTTGAGTAAAAATCTTCCTTTGACAGCAGGCATCTTCAGTTTCAAACCACTTTATGGCTGATACAAGATATTCCAATGAATGTCCTGTGTATCAAGATATTCCCAATAAAATCAACAGAATAGAAAAAATACAATCAATCTTTTAATCTTTTTTGTCAAAGACTGTAGGGAATAGATGTAAACCCAGTGACTTGTGAAAATGACATCATAATGGTTTGAAATGCCTCTCTAAGTCAACTGTCAGTCGCCAGAGTGTGGGCATGGTCAAGAAGAAACCAAGCCGAAATTCATAGGTCAAGCAATCTGTCATAAAGGTGATGTGAAACAACTAAAAGTTGAAATCCAGCCACGGCTGGAAGAGCAGCTTCACTTCTGAAAACACCGTTTGGTGGATCTGAGTCCATTATCCATGAATTTATTTTTTCAGACTTTACCCAGTCTCTGTCTGAACATTAATATTAGCAGGTAGCCAGAGGAATGAGTATTGCAAGTCTACTCGTGAAACGTTTCCATGCTAAATTATCACCATTGTTCAAGAATTGAAGACTCTTCGTTTTTTTAATTGGATTTGTCTGGCTTTGACTTTCAACTGACAATCTGTAACTGGTTGGAAGCTGAACCGTTATCGCATACCAGAGGGTTGAACTTTTCAGACAGTGAAGGGAAGAAAGTTAAGAAGGAAGAGGAGTTGTCAGGATAATTTTTTTTTTTTTTACTTTTTTCTTTTTTTTGTTTTGTTTCTGGCAAAAACTCCCACAGCCTTATCACTGAATGGCAGAGATTCATGTAATTTTTCAAGGGCTGCTCAGGACTGGCTGCTCTTGAGGCCAACACCCTGTGATAGGATCTCAGCTTCTGCCTATATGGAGGTTAGCAAGCCATTCCTACAGTCAAATGTTGTGTGGTTTAATGTCAGGTTCTGCAGTATGGTGATGGTCAGTGTTAAGTTGGATTTGTATTTAGAAACCCCTGCATAGAGGCATTTGAGCAGGACAAAACTTCACCTGGCTCTGTTGATTGCTTTGAAAATCTTTGCAGAAGACATCCCTGCTCCAGCTCCTGGGAAATCTGAAAACTGAGCAATGTAAAATCACCTACCAGCAACACCAGGCTTTTATTCCTTCCAAGTTTTACTCTACCCGGGCTTAAATCCATGTCTTAGATACCTAGGGGCTGAAGAATTCTGATGAGTAGAGGATTCCTATTATCTTCCAGTGGTGTTCTCTAAGTTCGATCTTGCTGCTGTTCGAATCATTGGAAAACCTCTTGTTGATCTGAGTGCTGCTGGATTAAGGCTGCCTGTTGTCCTGGGGAGGGCAGTATTATATACAGCAGTGTGAACTTTTCCTTTCAAAACTTAATCTTTAGCTCTGCCAACTTGACAGTTCCAAGTCAGCACGACAAGCTCATCCTCTCCCCCTTTTTATGAGGCCATCTGGGAGGATGTTGCTCCCAAAAGCGCTACCTCTGCATCAGCTCCATCATTTCAAGCTGAAAATTCTCGTGCCAAATATAAATGTGGGGAAACATCCCCCTGCAGCTTGTGATAAGTGTCTGAACCAGCCAAAGGAAGGGAGAATCTGCCAGAAAAGCTCTGCAATGTCTGAAGAGGAGAGAACTTGGATCCTCCTGATCTTGGAATGAGGTCCTCTGCAGAGATGGGATGTGTTTTTCTCCCAGAATTTCTTGTTTATCTATTCCGGATCAGTGCCTGGGTGCCGGCTGCTCCTCCCATGTAAGACTCTCCATGTAAGTGAATTGCTCTGTAAGGCCCAGCATTTTGTTCTAACTTTACAGCCAATGACCAGTTCTAGCTCCTCACTTTGTTTAATGAAGAAAGGTCATTCCTACTTTTGATCCAGTCCCAGTCAGGGCAGGTGATGGAAGTCTTACCTTCCTAAACCTTTCCCAACAGACTTTTTCCAGCTGGCATAGCAGTTACACTGGTGGAGATGCATGCAGTTTAACAGCTTTATTTGTGGAGTATTGACGATGCACCAGTTGAATTATTAGCAGGTATTTTTGCAGTTCATTTTGTTCCTTATTAGTAAGGTTTCCCACCTGGACTTCTGAGGCAGGATATGTTAAGTCTGGCAGATCACTCAGACTCTGTGCACTGTTTCAGATAACAGCTCCTCCGTCTGACTTCACAGATCAAAAATGACGTGTTTTTCTGTGTCAGTTTTAAATCTGAAAACTTGGACTTGTTTCTGAGCCCTGCCAGTGAGATCATTAACCCTCAAACAAAGATGCTTTGTCGGGTGGCGATCAGGGCGCCTTTTCTTTTACTTTCCAAAGTTCCAGTCCTTGATTGGATCCTCACGTTGCCACCATAAATGGAGTAACTTATCCTCTTAACCATATTCATATAGGAGGACGATAAGATGACCAGTCATCAGTAGTTCAGTGTTTCTATAACAACACATACACAATTTGGGGTGAATCTAGCTTTCCCTTTACAAAGGGACAAGAAGGTGATTCAGTCTTTTTACTTCCTTTTTCTATTTTCCTTTTGAGTAGTTCTTTAGCCTTCTGTAATGCTAGATCTGAGAATCTAACAGACCTTTTGGAATCAAGATTTTGTCAGAGGCCCAAGCTGGCAATAGTTTGGAGACTGAAGGACTACTTCTATTCCATCCAGGCTTTAAATTCACAGAGATTTAAAACTGCCATCAGTAATTGTTCTGAATATGAATACATATATTGTCCCCATCAGAAATAAATAACTAGTTGGGATGTTCAGGTACCACACATCAATATGGCAGACACAAAGGATTCTGAAATTGCCACGTGACATTCAAAAAACATCAGCGAAGATGAAAAATAATCACAAATATCAGGATTGCCTTTCCCTTTTGGAAAAATACAAATGCATCAGAAATAAAGTAAGTTATCCCTCTTCCTTCCTTTCTTCCAAAAACAAAGCCAAAAATCAGCAGTGTAGTCAATTTCACATTTGACAGCATTATTGCATGAATGACAAACTGACAAGTTTTGTCCCTCTTTACTTGTTCCAGCCTCACATTTGCTTGCTAATTCATGCAAAGTTTTTCCAAGTACTCCATCCTGTAGGATGCTGACTCTCCTGTGAAAAGCAGTTTCTCAACCAACCTATCTCCACCTTCCAACTCAGTCATCTGGCAAAAGAGTGAAATGTTACTGTGGCTCAGGCCAAAGGCTCTGGAAGAAGAGAAGCGTGACACTCATCTGGTATGAATGCTGGCATCCTGATGGCACTCCAACAGCTCTCTGTCCCTCTGCCACCTCTTTTTATTTCATATGATTGCCCAAGAAAACACAGTAGAAAGGCTAAGCAATTACATGTCCTTAATTAGGGAACTATTGACAAATTATTTGCATGGGAGCACTAGTTCACAATGCTTATCATGGCAACCTTTTCTGTTCAAAAGGCACTGCATCCTCCCAGTGGGTTCAGCCCTACGTGTACAGCCCATCAGCACATTCCTGGGGAGGCTTGTGGAGAACCACTTGAAAATGGCCGTAGATAGTCAGTGCCTTTCAGGAATGTGCTAAACAAGCACTCTCCCCTGCTCCCAGGCAGCTGCCTGTCTGGAGAGCCTGGTTTCCAGCCAGGTCATCATGGAGCTGTAGTTCCCTTGACCTGAATGAGATCCTGCCTGACCACTCAAATCTGTAGACATGAAGCAAAAAAATGAGGTACACTTGTCCCAATAGCAGGGACTGACAGCCAACACCAGGCCAACACAGAGGTGTGATCTGATGTCTCATGGCTCACCCTTGCTGTGGGCAATTAGAAACCTTGGTATCTCTTTCTTAGAGATACCGTATCTCCTCCTTATCTTTTCTTTTCCTAAAAGAAAGCATGTCTGAGATGCAGTCCTGATATCCGCACACCTAAGAAGGGTGGATTAGTAATTATACACTGTGTGCTGGTCAACTCCTTCCTTCACACATTTGCTTTTCAAGCTTGTGCCCAGTTTTTTCTAGCAGTGTCTCTCCCATCTTGAATTGTCAGTTGTTCTGGCAGCCCCCTGAACTTTGCCCATTGCTCCCACTTCTCCTGCTCAGGTGCTGGAGATGTACACCTATGTTAGACCAGTCAGCATGTGGCAACGTGAGGCAGAAGGTAACCCTGTGCTGTGCAGGTGGTTCCCATGCCGTCAGTAGTATCTTGGGGAATGGATGGACTCATGCTATATCATGGCCTGTCATTCACATTCATGGCTTGCTTTTTACTAAAGCCCCAAAGTGGTCTTTCACTCATCAGGTCTTATATTTTCTACTTGTGTAGAGAAGGGGCTGCGCAGAAACAATTCTGTAAAATTTTAACGTGTTTAATATTAGTGCTGCATTTCTGTCTTTCCTTTCACACTTTTAGTAAAAAGTCCATATTTGGCCAATAGAAATTCCAGATTCCAGGGTGTTAATGGCAATATTTATTTAGTCATCGATGTCAGCATTTGTTTTTCTAACCTGGTCTTGATCATTAACATCCCATAGATAACAAGGTTGGTCCTAATAGATTGTGGTCCAGACAAAGGAACGTGAAGGCATGATCAATACCTTTCAGTGACAGTTTTAGTCCTAACCTGTGTTTTGTACATGAACCTTCAAAATATTTTAGTGGCCAAGACAAACGTTGTCTGCGCACAGTTATGTTTTTACAGTATTTTAATTCCACTGAAACGGTACAGTAAATATTGATACACTGTTTTGCCTTCAGTATTTTTGGACTGTGGTCAAATTAATTAAATAGTAAATAGCAGAGTGGATATCCCAGCACACTGTCCTATGAAATGCTAAGCAAGATTAGAATGGCTGATAAAAAGAGCTCTATGCTAATGCAAATAAAGGAAGGACACGGTGTTATATCAGTCTTTGTTGGCATTTCCCATGTGGTTTTCTGAAGTGAACATTTACTCTGTGTTCTTTAACAGATGAGAAAGCTTCACGCGGTGAGTGTATGTGCAACATACTTTTATAGCTGTCTTTCCATTCTTGGTGTTTATTTTTGCATTTTTCACTGTGATTCCTCCAATTTACAGTTTGGGTTTTTTTCCTTCTTCTTGCAGAACTTGAAAGAGACACCCGTGGGTTGCTGACCTCTGTCAGTGATGGTGTCTGCGGAGATTGCAGCTGCTATTTATCTGCCTGCACACGGATCACTTCGCAGTTCTCCCAGACAGTCTTCAACCACGCATAGTGGGAGCTGTCCTATTTTCCATGTCGTTGTCCTCATCCTGTTACATCCCGCTGTGCCAACATGCAGAGAACTTCAAGCAGAGGTGATTTCCCTAGATACCAGCTACCTCCTTCATGGCTCCCTTCTCCTGGCCAAGCCACAGGTGTGACCTGCTGAGATAGGAACTGGGAGGGAGGCGGACTTAGGGAACATGACTTAGGACTTGGGACTTCCTGCTGGGCAGCAGCGCTGCGGTCAGCAGTGTGCAAACAGGGCAGAGCGCTGACAGCTGGTGAGCTGCGGCCGCCACAAACGCACTGCTGAGGAAGACAGCAAAACATGTTGTCTGCAGCATCGTGCTTAGTCAGCGTGCTGCGGCCGGCGCTGGAGGCTGTGACAGTAGAACTTCGTGCTTTCTGACCTATTTATTGACTCTGACTCTGCAGGCATCTGCTTTCACAGAGGCTTGTGAACCAAGGAAGCAATAGAAATCCATTGAATTGCATGGCTTGGTTTTCAAAGCTGATGACTTGAGTGCCTCCATTTCTCTTTTGCATTTATCTGTGTATGTCTTCTGTGCTTATCTTGTGCCGTGAGAGGTTACAATACTCCTGACTGGCTTTGCTTCCCTGAATTCACAAACTGCAGAGGTAAGCCCTTTGTCACCAGCTCCCTACAAGCTTGCTTCTTGCTGTGCATATAGATCCACCACGATTCAGTCCTGAGTGTGACTTGCAGGCAAAACTGGAGACATACTGACACAGAAGAATTAATTGCCTTCTATTGACAGATACTTAAGCTCACATTCATGACATCACAATGTTCCCAAGTATATTTTGTTCACGAAAACAGATTGAAAACTTGACCCAGGAGGACTTTGTAAGAAAGTTTGTTGTCACCAGGATCTGAAAAGAGCTCTCATGGAATGTGAAACAGACTAATACGGAGATGGGAGTCTGTTGGGAGTCTGTAGCAGTAGAGGTTTGAATAATTGCAGCCCATGCATCTTGGCTTATCTGGTTTCTGTAAAGCATGGGATACCTGGAAGGCAAGGTACTCTGCTGAAAGATTACAATAATGTTCACATAGGTAAAAGTAGCAGGACATATATTAAAGTAGATTCTAGTTTTTCTCATGGGTATAGCTTGCTCATGAGCTTTAGGTACGATCCCCTACATAATCCTGCAGGTCTTAGCCCCTCAGAACTCCTCCTGGTACAAATGAGAACCTCCAATCCAACACAGAAGGATTTCACACAGGAGCTTCTTCTCCTTTGTTCAGAGCAAGCAAGGCAAATACTTTTGCAGAGCCTGTTGGAACATGCATGTATTTTTCAGACAGGAACATTAAGCCATTTGACATGGTCTTGTTATTTTCCTCTGGAACACTGGATCTGTCTGTACTCAGTAGTTGGTTTTTTTTAAACTCTCTTTTTCCACAAGAACAAATCCAGGAGAGAGCAAGAGAAGTCCTTCAGCAGAAGGAGGCACAGCCGGGCGCTGGAGTGACCTTGGAGGCTCTGCCTCTGTCATTGCCCTCTCCAACTCCTGATAAACAGCAAGTGAAATGGATTTACAGGCTTGCAGAAATCATTTCATTTTCTCTTGTTTTATCAGCACAGATGGAAAGCAGGCCTGTATCTAATCTCAGTCCAGAATCAGCTGGAGTTGGACTGATAGTGTATGAAGACAGCAAAAGCAGCAGACTTCTAAACTCACTGAGCTGTAGCTTGTGCTGTATGAGCTAGTAGGACAGAGTTTTTCAGTAGTTTATGCTTCAGGAAGATAGAGATCCACAGACATTTATTCTGACATTCCAGTTCTTTAATATACTCCCTAGTCTTGTACCAGATGCTGTATTTGCTGACATTTCTAGTGAAATCACTCCTGGAAATGCTGTCCAGCAGGCCACATCCCTGGGTCCTTCCTCAGCAAGGCACCTGGGCAGTAGTGCAGAACCATCTCACCACCCAGCTCAGTCAGCAGGGTACTCCCACGTGTCCTGCAGTTCCTTGCACAGACACCTTTTACATTTCTCCCCTTCCCTACTGTTATTCTTTTTCCTTATCCCGAGTTCTTTCTGCAGCATTTGAAAAATGAAAATAGTGAGGCTGACATTGTGCTTTGCAGGCAGCCGACCACACTTCCACACCACTGCCCAGGTATGCGTTCAACCACAACTGGCAGTGTTCTCTGCAGAAAGGAGCTGTTAAGAGTGGTGAAGGACCAGGTCTGAATTGCATTCTTACCTTAGACCGTGGTTCCTGTGATTCAGGGTTAAGTGGAGGGGGATGTCAAGTATACTCATTAAGAGTAAATTGTTAAGTGACACACTTTGTCTTTGAACAGAGTAGCAAGCTGCTGTGGAGCATTCCCATGGAAATATTAAGGGGACACTTTGGATAACGTAGAGATCCTACATATGCTCATTCATTCATGCACAGGAACTCAATTAGCAGGATACCTCTGCAACACAGCCAACACCTCCCCACAGCAAGGGATGGTCTGACACACTGCTGTGTGGATGAAGAATCGAAACCATGCAGAGTAAGGAGAAACACGTGTAAAAGCAGCAAGAAAGGTTGTGAGACAGTGGTGGCTGGCACTCCAGCAGTTGTGGATGACATCAAAACAGCTGAGATGGAGAAGAGCAGCTCTCAGGAGTCTGGCACCCTCAGTCTCTTATAAAACATTAGGCTGTGGGAGCTCAACAGCTCTAGCAGTACTAATAGTGCCAGTACATCAATGATCAATTTGCAAACAAATCTTTCTGATGCTGAGGTTAAAATGACTTCCTTTCAGAAGACTTAGACTTTCACTTCATTTTAAAATGAAAAAAGAACTTCTTTTCTTTTGTAACATCTGCCTCATTTTTCCTCTTTGTTGGTTTTTTTTTCTTATTTATTTTATTTAGTAGAATAGATACTTAATCATAGAATGGCTTGAACTGGAAGAGACCTCAAAGTACCGCCTGACACAACACTTTTTTCCCCTCTGAAGATCCCCAGTTGCTGTAGCATCTCTCCAAGGCTATAACGGACATTAATGTTTCTGTAAGTCAGTGTTCTCCTTACACAGCTCTGAGTCAGATTTCTGTTGCCTGCTCTAGTTCCTTTCTGGCTTTCAAGGAGCAGATTGGAGCCAAATATCCAGCAGATCTCTCCATCTGATATTCAGTTATGGGGAGAGGAAATATTGAAAATGGTGCAGTCAGGACCAGCAGCACGATGTTAAATGAATGTCAGTTGTTTCTGGAGGCGTTTGGAGGCTGTAAACAGGTCTGATTTTACCCAAATTCACTATGTGGTAGAAGAGTATTATTGTATTGCAACAGAACTAGAGTCCCTCTGAGCTAAGAACTTAGAAATGGGGCTGTAGGCTGGGTAGGGGTACCTTCAGGCTTCCAGTACGAGGGCCCTGCATTACTATATGCCATCACTTCAGTCAGTGGTGGTGCACTTGGCCTCATGCTCACATGCCCCATTAAAGTCCAAGAACCAGGGAAGCAGGGCTGACACATTTGGCATTTTCTCTTCTCCTCCTATCTCTCCTCCGAGCAATGGGTTTCAATTGAAGATTTCCTGATTGCGAGCTTTAACACTTTGGTAAAGAAAAATACTCTGTAGTTGATGGTAAGGTCTAGTGGCAGAGTTTCATTCCATTTCATGCCTTTATTCTCATTTCTCTTCTTGCTGCTGGATCCTGCATTAAATTACCTTCATCAGATGTTAAACACGAATCTGGAGCAATCCAGGTCCCTGAAGAGCCTGGTGGGAACTCTGATTCCTTCCTAGCAGCTTCTCACCCCTAATGTGAAATCTGGGAATATTCATTTCCATGCTTCTCCTTTCAAAAACCACAACTTTTTTTCACTACCTGTCAGCAAAATCACATAGCACTCATTTCTGATCTAAATTTCAGAAGTCTCGCCTTAAGACTCAAGGATTACATCAGCAATTAGAGCTTTAGAGACCTTTTGTCTTAAGTGATTATTACTGCAAAGTTTATTCTAAAACTTTATCTAGCCTTACCCAACCCATATACATCTGGACTGCATTCCAGGAATGCCATTCCTTCTCCATTGTTTCTCTTGTGTTTTTATGTAACTATCCGAATCCAGAGATGCACTCACTTTTACATTGTAGACGTGGTTTTAACTGGCACAGCAAACATTTTCCCTCACTTATCTTTTTAAAAAAATATATGTAAGAGATAATCTAATCTTAAATTTAAAGTTTAACACAAATACAGGGATCGATGACAACTTGTGAAACTATTTCACTCTAAGACATGCTAACACGGGTGATAGGACAGAGTACATATTATTTCTCAAATGGGGAAAAATGAATATTTAAGACCTACTTAGAAAGTTCTACATTGCTGTTGACGGCAGCATTGTGTCTGAGGGTGATCAAATAAAGCTCGTTGAATAATTCATTGAGCACACTTTGCAAAACTGTTTGTTTAAATTATTTATCCATTTCTATGTGATAAAACTCAGAGGACTTAACCCTCCCTAAAATACTGCAAATGTTTTACCGTATTTCCAAAACAGAACCACCTTCCTACTGCAATAACACTAGCTGGATGCAATCTATTTCACTCGCCTTCTGTGCAATACCTGATGCTGAAATGAAACACGATCCACCGCTGCCATTTATCACATACATCACCCAAATGAACACTTGGCCCAACTCAGCGATGTAAATGGGTTGTGGAGAGGACTGGGTTCGTCCTGGGAGGGTATAAAGCGAGTGAGCGAACTTCAGGCAGGATTTACATTATCAGAGCTATGCTTCCCATGGGGCAGTGATTGATGAGGGCAACGGGCAGAGACTGAGGAGACAAGCCCCATTTTGCACCTCCAGCTTTGCCTGTGACCTAGGTGACCACTGAATGAACAGAAGCACCCTGGGTGCTCTCAGATGCCGAATGAACAGGCCAGCCTGGATTGGCATCAGGTGCTCATCAGGTGTGTAGGAAGAAGGAGGTATTAGAGGTCCTCTCTTGATGCCCTTCTCTAATTTTCTGGCAATTTCTGATGCATATCCAGAGAACTGAGCCCCTGAATGAAAATACAGCATGCCTATGTGGATATTAACAG